AGATGGTAGAGAACTTCACTCACACAGACACAGAGAGACATGCACAGGCACCAGTAACAAGAAAGTTTTCTTAATGACAATTAAAATTGGCATCTTTGCCACACGGCTTCCATTGTTCTGTGGCAGAAGGAGCACAAAACACAACCAGTTCCCAGCCCTCTTCTGCAGTGGGGGACTTTATTTTGGGACAGTTCAAGGGCTCTCACCTCCACTGTGTCCTCCAGGGAATCCCTGGAGGGATCAGCAGCCTGGGGCAGCTGCTGAAAGGCTCCTGGCTAAAAGAAAAAACAGGTTTTGTTTTCCTTCACACACTGGCTGGGAACTGCTGCACATCAGTGAGGAACCAGGCAAGGAAAAGAAACCAAACCTGCACCAAGGTAAGCTGATTGTGAGCCCGGGACCCCAGGACAAAACCCCTGTGTTGGGGAGTAACACTCGAGTTTTAAGTGCCCTCATTCAAAGTGCTCCTGTTTTCACAACCTGAGCTTAAACGCCACTTAATTGTTTCAGAGAGCAATGATTTGTTTATTTATTTGTTTATCTGTTAAAATAAGTAGTGGAAAGAACCCTGTATGGTCATAAGTTGAGCATGCTTTTGTATATATATATATAAAAAAATATTATTTTAATTTTTATTATTATTAATGGCCAGAGCAACAATTTCCAGCAAAATTGCAACAATTCTGCCACATCAGTACCAGCTGAAAGAGCCTGCCCAGTCACAAGGTACAGCTGTGTGTAAGACTGAATCTCTTATTCTCTCAACCAATAACATTACGCGTACCAGCTCCACTTTTCTGTAAATGTCAAATGAGTTCATATTTTGCTAATGCCAACTCTTTTCCCCTGCTGCTAAATATCACACACCTTACATGGAACAAAAATCGAGAATACTGAAAATCAAATGCATGATTTCCCACAAATCTCAAATGGGACTTTATAAAGCCCATTAAATGCAGGATGGTTTCCCCCCAAAAAAAACAAACAAACAAACCAAGATCCCCTCTGTCAAGGTTAGTAGTCTAAAAAGATCTCTGGGTTCTAACAATATAAGGTTTCATCACAGCTGAAAGGTTTTGGTGGGGTTTTTTTCTGTGATCAAATGTGGTTTTATTTTATTATTTTTATTATATATACACATTTACACACAGACATTTACGTACTTTATTCAACCAGACATATTTCTACCAATATAAAACTCTGCTCATGCTCTTTGCTTTAAAATAAGATTATTCACAAGGGGGATTGCTCTAGTACAGAAAATGCAGTAAAATTATATAGTTACAGATTGAAAAATGTATCTCCAGGTATGAATAAACTCAGAGGACTTTTGCTCTGGCACAGAAACCTTCAGCTTTCTTACTCCCCTACTAATGAATTTAAACCATAACAAAGTGTTAACATGCATTCAAAGTACCCTAAAAAGAAGCCACCAAGCCATGCTGGTGAGACCAGAGGAAACCTAAAGAACTCCTCTAAAAGGCTCAGCCTTCAGCAGCTACAGCTATTTTATCTTATTTATTTATATTTTATTTATTTTATCTTCACAAAACTTCCTCATCCTCACCAGACAGGCCTGTCCAACGGGGCATCTTCCAAAACAGTTACACAAGGTTTATTTCACTCTTTTCTCTTTTTTTTTTTTCCCCCTGCAAGTAAATGGGGCATTGTCCCTGAGCAGGAGGATTTTTCTGTCTGGTTAAAACCTAAGGAAGTAGTTTTTCATTTGAATTTGTCCCCAGGCTGCATCCTACTGCTGCTCACTGGTATTGTTGGTACCGCTGCTAGCAGCCTCATACAGAATATTTCTAAAGTCTAAACAGGTTTTAAAGCTGGTTTGGTTTAAAAAATAAACTCAAAAATAAAACAACCTTCTAACACAATCACCTAAGGAGCAAGAGGCACTTCCCTCCTTAAGTCACAATTTCTTGACAAAAAAAAATTGAAGTATGAAAGCTTTAAGAAGAAAAATAATCAACATGAAGCACAGGGAAGCATATTATAGTTGTTAATTTATTATTTTGCAGCTGCTCTTGAAAGCAGGGAACTAAGATGATGCAGTTAATTAAAACTAACTGAAAGTAAACATTAATTGGACAAAGCATCCAAGTACAAACACTTTATAACAGTCAGAAAGTTAATGAAACCTGTGGGTGGGAGCATCACTTGAAGATGACAAAATAATATTTAAAATTACTTCCCTTTATGCAAAACAACTGTGCAGCAAAAATTGCCTTTAGAATACCTGTTCAAACATTAATTAGTAGAAAAATGAAATAAAATGAAATAAAATAAAATAAAATGGCTGGACTAACGGATTCCAAAGTTATACTGACAAAACTGCTGTTGCTACCAGCCCAAGCAAAGGCAGCTGTAATAAACACACTGTTGTTTACCTGACAATATGCTTAAACAAATTGAATAAGGAGTGCTGGTATAAAAATACATATAAAGGTAAGAGAACTCTATCCCAGCTGATTGAACTACACGAAAGGCACAAAATAAAAGTGTGAGGAAAAGCCCAGGACATGTGAACAGGCAAAGTATTGCCAGCAGTGCCTTACTGACCAGATTTATGCTGGTGATATTCCACAGACTCTTCGTTACTCTGTGTGAAATCATTGTTAGGCCCAAAGGATACAGGACCTTGTAAATTACTCAATGCAGGTAAAGAAACCAGCTCTCACCTTTGCACATGAAGATGCATATCTGTAGAGAAATTACTTCTAAAAACAATATTTCCTTTAGCAAAGAGCACTGTCCTAAAGCTGCATCCAGCTACTGATTTATGGCATGCAGCAATAGATTGCCCTGCTGTTCACATCCACGTCACAAAACTCCCATGTTGCTTCACTCATTTCTCTTCATCCCACGATTTTTAAAATAAATTTTTCACTAGAGAATAAAGCCTCTTCAAACTCCCTCTTAGGGAGGAAAAAAAAAAAAAAAAAGCCAAACAAACAAAAAGAAACCAAAAAACCACACACATGCATTACTTTAAAAGACAGCAACAAAGAAAAGCAGACTGTAAAACCAAATCAAATCAATGTGGCACTAACAGAGATGTAAGAGGGTAAAAAGATCATGATTTTTTTTTTGTTAATACTGCTTTTACCAATTTTCTGTTCAGATTTCTCACTTGATGACAACCTCTTTCAGATAAGCACACAAAACTCCCATTACAATACATTAGGAAGTCAAATTAAGACTCCATATGAAGCTACCACATAATCCAGTCCCCCCTCCCCAGAAACAATTCTACTGTTCTTACATCACACAAACCCTCAACACACTCAAATCTTCATTTCCTTGCTCTCCCTCTTACCCACCTGGCAGGAGTCCCACTTTTATTTCTAACAGGTTTTCTAAAATCTGTCATTTGCTATCCAGACCTATGCCTGGACTCACCTCCTACACTTGAACATTGCTGTCTCTGCTTCCACTGTGAATCTGAGACTAATTCATTTCCAATTTTTCAAAATTCTGATCTCCTTTCCATGTGCCACACCCTCTGCTGAACCCAAATTTCTGATTTTAAGAAAGTTGCAGTATTTAAGTTAAAAATTATTTCAAATCCTGTCACTGTACCGTACTTTGAAGTTTCAGTTTTTATTTCAACTACACAGTTTTTCCAAACAAGTATCTTTCAAGATCAAGTTAGTATAATTTAACAGATACGCTATCCTTTAGAGGAGTGCCTGCATGTCTGTGAGATTTTTTATACAAAGCATGAACAAGTTATGCAGTGCTGAACACCACACTTAGTCCTAAATTCAGCTCCCACTGAAGTCAATGTCAATAGGAAGGGGTTCTTTAAAACTGCTTTCTGATTTTCTTTTGTTTGCTTTGAATTCATTCTCTAAATAAGATTTGTACTTAATGTCAGAAGCACAGGCTGGAGTGCAAAACACCCAACAGAAATTTGCCAACTAAAAGTCTGAAAAGTGAATCAAGTGAATGTTTCTAAAATCAAAGTTACATCATCCTGGTAGTAATAAATCAAATGCAATTAATGGAAAGTTTTTCACCTTGAAAAGTGAATGCACAACAAACACTCTTCAGCATCCTTCCTAAAGTTGCCTTTAGGAACATTGTAACCACGTGAAATCCTATTAGAAGGTGCTGAACTCCTACATTGTGACTCTTCCGGCAGGCTTCTACATAACAAAAATGCAATGAAGTACCATACAACTTTCCCCCCTTATTATGCAAAATCCTTATCAAATTCAATAGTGTGACATGGTTCAAAATCCTGCCTAACAATGCCTCGCAGGATGTCAAGAGATGTCGGCTTTGTTTTAGTTTCACGTGCTTTTCAGTCCATTAATGCTAAAAGAAAAAGAACCTTCACACAAATAACTGATAAAGATCAAACCCCACTAAACAATGGGAAGGAAATTCAGAGTTGAAGCTGGTACTCAGCTCTTCCAAAGCCGAGCAGCCCATTGTGCCCAGGGTGCCACAACACCCAGGAATAACAAGGTGAGGGAAGGAACCTCCAGGTTTCTTTCCTCCAGGTTTCTTTTCCACTTCCCAGGGCTTTGTTGGTTCGGGCCAGGGCTGTTGTTTCCCAGAGTGTCTGCAGCTCCTCGGAGGAGCTCCGGGGCAGCCCCCGACTCCTTTGTGCGGCAGGTTGCGGGTGGAACGTGTGCCGCATTCCACATTCCACTCGCAACCAGGAGGACAAAGGATTCACTGATCAGGGGGGACAATTAGTCCCAATTAGGCCTATTTCGCAGCCGAGTGTAAGCGCTGGGGGAAGGGAGCTTAAATCTTAAAGCAACGGGTCCCTCAGGCGAGTTAAAGCGAGATGAGTGAAGTGACAAGCTTGAGAACAGAGTTGCACCGAGGTGGTGGCGCGGAGCCCGGGGCACGGCCACCTCCAGGCTCAGCCCTCAGACACACCGGGCTGAGAAACCTCACCATTCCGCCTTTTATAAGCACATTTCCCAGCTGCCGAGGCCCTGTCAAGGTCCCGGGCACAGGTGGGGAATACTCACATGTGCACGTGTGGAGGCTGGAAGCGGCTCTGGTTGATGTTGTAGTGCGTGAACGCCTGCGTTGGGTTGGAGCTGTACTCATCCACAGTTATGGTAACTTTGCCTTGTGACGGAATTCCATGAGCCATCCTTCCTCCTTATGGACATGAGCAGCTCACAGCTTCCCAAGGCCAGGGGCAGGGTAGGGCATCGTGCTCCGGGCAGCTCCCGATTCCCAGCAGCTCCGCATCAACTCCGTGACCTCTGCCAGGAGAGAAAGGCAGCGCACGCTGCTGTAAGCCATGAGATGTAAACACACACAGACCTGTCACTGGCTGCTCTTCCTGATTTCCATTCAGATTTGAGATCTTTCTCTATACTCTTGATGTACCCATCGCCCCTCTCTACGCATTACTATTCGCTTTTCTTTTTTTTTTTTTTCTTTTAATTACCTCATCATCCAACTTCATCATCATTAGACACATCCAAAGGATGAATGCTTAAAGTAAGGTTTTATCTTCAGGGAGTGGGGGAAGGGGGAATAAAATATCTGTGTTGAAAGCTCCAGTTGAATACTCCCCGTTTCATATCCTTTATTTTGAATAACATCTTGTGTTTATTGCAACCACAAAAACTCACAAGTCGACCCAGCTTCCTGAAGGACAAATGACTTTCCACAAACATGCACACTTGTTTTCAAGGTGCTGCTGTAGCTTTAGAAGTGAGAGCCTTACAAGCAACTGATGTAAAGAATATGTTAAAACTGCATAGCAAAAGGTACACTCAAATACCTTTGAATCAAAGTATTTATGTGTCCAGAGAAAGGTGAGCAATGTTAATAAAATATCCATATTACAGCTCGCTAGCACTGAAACTGGTTTGGATTCACTGTTACCAGACAGTAATGATTTATCTGACTTAAATGCGATTTTACACATAAATATTTCTTCATGAGATGAAAGAAAAGGGTTCTTCCCTTTCTATGCATCCCTGTCTTTTGCTTCTTCAGAGTGCTCTTAAACGTATTTTGCATTAGATGTGTACTGCAATATTAGCACAACCCAATAGCCAGAAACCTCCCAAAGATGAATTTCCTGTACAAAACCTGAGGTTCGATTTCTTCAGCCAATAAACTGAGGATACCTCAGCTGCCTTCCTTTCAGAGGGACTCTGTGAGAATTGATCAGCTGCTGCTCGAAGGATACTTTCAAGATGAGCAACTCTTTCAAAGAGAGGCAGATCCTCAGCTGTGGTAACTGCAAGGACTTACACAAAATCACAGCACTCAGAAGCCACTGATATTCCTCCCTTTAGCTGCCACAGGCAAGAGGGGACTTCTCCTACCTGGAGTGCACTTTACACAATTAAATCAGTGCTTACTGGGAAGACAAAGAGATGGGAAAGAGAAGAGAATGACTTGAACCCTGAGCATCAAACTATGCAATATTTTTCCAGTGCAATGTTCCTGGCCTTCTCTAGCTCCCAGATAGAAATGTGTTTGCCATGTGTAACATCAGGCATCTGAAATCTTTGATTTGTATTCAAAATATATTTTTAATACAAAGACTAATTTCCAGTTTGGCATGAAGCACGATGGAAACGCTCTGCAAATGGCAGATGGCCTGCTATAGGCCATTTATTTTACTATTTTACCACCTCAGGCCTATGTAGGCTTCCATATGTTAGTTGGGTTGAAGACATTGTGCAACCTTCCTTCCAGTAACTGGATTCTATCCTTCTTTAGCATTGGAAGGAAAAAAGTATATTAAAAAAAAAAAATAAATAAAAAAGAAGATGAAACCAAAACTAAAGCACCAATTTAAAAGCTGTCACTAGAGATGGTGCAGCACTGTAACTGTGGTTACAGTCTGGTCTTCTCCTGCCAGACCTAGTGGAACCTCTCTCATGAGAACAAGGCTTCAGCAGCAAAAATAAGCAACGGTGAGCGTTGCTGAAACAAATCTTTGCTGTGCTAGATGCGATGTTAAGATGCTGCAACAACTGCTCACATAATGTAGTGGTTGCCCCCGCCAAGTTTGCAGCTGTTTCCTGAATTTCCTTTACAATTATATTTTAGTGTTATTTTGCATAACAGTAAAACACAACACCTGCTTCAAACTGCAGTCCTGTTCCAGGCACTGCAGTTCTTTTGAGATAGTAACTACCAAGAAGTGCACAACAAGGCAGAGCAGCATAATTGCCCTGTACTGAAAAGTAAATACAAATGAAAACATCTTCCTGCCAGAGAAATGACTGTCATTAACGAGAATGCTGGCCATCAGAGCTCACAGGGAAAAAAAAAAAAAAAAGAGAAAAAAAAGAGTTTTTCTTTTATACTGCAAGAACTTTAGAGCCTGCATATATTAAGAAGTTGTGTGAAAATTACATGTGTAATGTTATTTTTTTTTCCCCCGCAATTAAAAGCAACAATATAAAACAATGCATTAAACCAACAACAAAAATATGCTTGGGCTTTCAGAAAAGCTAAATGACCCTGTTTTCAGCAACCCAGCATAAGAAAGGTCAGAACATTAAATTTCATATTATAGTTCACTCATGGAAGAAAAATCTAATTTGTTCATGAGAATGAATTATACATAAAGATAATAGGCATTTTTTACAATGTTTGTAACAGTCCATGTTACAGAAAGAAATTACAACTAACTGGCATAAAACAAATGACAAGAGGACACTTAAATAGCTGTATTAAATACTTTTAAGTTGACTCACTGAGACTGTAAGTGTATAAGATGCAATTGCTACCCATTGTTCTAACCTTAAATCTTAAAAATAAATCTCTACTTAAATTGAGACAAAGCTGAGCAAAGTATCCTTTTAAAATGAAATTCAACAACAAATGCCAGACTGGGGTAAAAAAAAAAAATATATATATATAATTTGAAGCTGGCTTCTGTGTCAATTCTCTTAATTTCCATTTAATACTGCATAGAGTACTACACCTCAACTATCAAAAGTATCTAATTATTACCTTCTTTACTGTGAATGTCTCTGAAGAAAATAGAAGAAAGAAGCTGAACACCTCAAAACTTTAAAACAAATGCATCTTAGGCCCAAGATTAAAAAAAAAAAAAATTAAAAAAGACTTCTTTGAATCATTACCATTCTTCTTTCTCCAACTATGAGCACTACTTGAAGGTTACACACAGAAGATGAGTACTAAAAAAAAAAAGTTGGATTATTTTCCCATCAAGTAAAATAAAGTGTAATATTTTCCATGCCTTTCGAGGCAGTTTTAAGTAAGAGTGCCTATATTAAAAACCTAAATGCTATTTTTTCAGCATGTTGCATTTTCCCAGATAGAGGCTGTTATCCTTTTCCAGCGTGTATCTGTAGCGGCAGCGAGACAGGAGATGTGCCATTGCACACATCAGCTCAGTGTTACAGGTACAAGCCGGCACTTTTTCCGAACAGGGCTGACCCAAACTTAGCTGCAGCTAATTGTAAACCTGTACACTGCCGTCCTGTCAAAAACTGCCACGAAATCCGCACAGGTAAGTCATTTCCAATGCATCCTTACACTGCACGGAGAGCCGCTCACACGGGCACGCGAAAAACCCATTTCCCCAAATAAAATATTTACGCCTTCCTCATCTGAATTTCAAAAATTTGCCTCTAACCGGGCTCGGGCTGTAGCAGCAATCGCTGAAAGGCAGGAGCTGAGAAGGGTTAACCCGGTGTCAACACCTCCGGTGGATCCATGCCCTATCCCGGCGCTGTCGCTCCCACACGGCCGCGCCTCGGCCCCCGGAGCCCCCCGGACTCACGGGGCGCTCCCGGCCCCGCGGGGATTCGCCAGCGGCCCCGCGGTCCCCGAGATGCTGCGCTGCAGTTTGCGGACAACTCCGGGCTCCAGCTACCCACCGAGCCCGGCGGAGCCGGCGGGGAGAGGGGGGAGCCGGACCCCGACACTCCCCCGCCCCGTTTACCCCGCCGCCGACCCCCGGTACCTGGGCTCCCGGCCGCTCCCCACCTCCGCCCGCCGCCGGCTCCCGGGCCGCCCCGGCCGCGGCCCCGCGGGGCGCCGGGCTCGCCCTGCGCTGATTGATGGCTCCGGGTGGCCAATGGCTCCGGCGCGGCCCCGTCCCGGCGTGTGCCGCAGCCCCCGCCCCGCGCCCCCTGCCCTGCCCTGCCCCCGCCCCGCCGCACCGGGGGGCATCGCTGCCCTGTCTGCGCCGTACGTGCCGCGCCGCACAAAGTTCACGTCGCCCCCGTGCCCGCGGTTGCCACGGACCGGAATGGCCGTGGGGGGGAGAGGATGCTCGGGGGAGGGATGCGATCAACTCCACACAGCCGCGGGCGAGCGCGGCGGGGCCGGCCGGGGGACGGGGGGGGGGATGATGCCCGCTGCTTTTATTCCGGCGGTGCCGACTCCTGCACCGCGCCCCCAAGCCCTCCGAAGGTTCCAAGTGTCTGAGGCCTCCGGGAGCACGGTTTCAGAGCGGCTTCTCCGCCGGAGAAAGGGCAACTCCGCCGGGGAACGCCGAACCAACCCGCCTTTCCCTCCTTACTTTTGCGGCGTGTCCCCCCCCGCGCCTCGCCCCCATCCCCGGGTCCCTCGGCGCCGGCAGCCCCGTCCCCGCGCCCGCCGGGCTGCTCGGCTCTGCGCCCGCCCGCTGGCCCCAGCCAGCACAAAGCTCCCCGGCCTACCCTCCCGGCCCCGCCGCCGCGCCCCCCGCCCCGACCCCGCACCCCGCACCCGCCCCCGGGCCGGCCCCGGCACCGCCGGCCCCCGCCGCCCCTGCGCCCGGCCGGGCAGCGGCGGAGGGCAGCGGGGGCACGGCCTGGGGAGCAGGGCAGGGCAGCCTCGCTCAGCGCCGCCGACATCGCCGCCTCGGCTGCGGGGAAGCGGCGCTGCGGCCGCAGCGACACGGCACGACCCGACCCGACCCGGCTCGGGCGGTCACGCCGGGGGCGGCGGGCGGCCGGGTTTATCTTCATTATTGTTTGCGGGAGGCTGGACCCGGCGCCGCCGCCGCCGCCGGAGCTCCTGCCCGCCCCCCCCCTCCGCTCTCGCCCATGACACGGCACCTCTAACCCGCCGCTTTGTGCGGCGCTGCCCCCGCCGTGCCCCCCTGCTCCCGACACCGGCCCGGGGCCGCTCACCTTCCCTCCGCCGGCTGCCGCTGCGGGCGGGTCGGGGATGCCTTCAGCGCGGGCAGCGGGGCCGCTCCATGGGGCTGCGGGGGCGCGGCCGGGGCAGAGCCTGCGCCCGACCCCGCGGCGGCGCCCGGCGGCGGCGGCCCTGGCTCCGGCTCCTGCTCCGGCTCCGGCTCCGGCTCCGGCTCCGGCTCCCGGTCCGGCTGCGGGAGCGGGGCGGCGGCGAGGGCGGGCGCGGTGCAGTGATCGGGGCTGCCACTGGGGTCAGGGAGCAGGCACCAGGAAACACGGCAGCCACGGCGCTGCTCGCACACACACACACACACACACACACACGCACGGCTCCTCCCGCTGCCTCGCACTTCACCCCCCCGGGCAGGGAGGGAGGGAGGGAGCGATCGCTGCTGCATTTCCCGAGCGCAGCCTCCCCACGCCGAGGCGGCTGGAGCCGGGGTCACGGCGGGCGCTCCCCGGGATCCCCTCCTCGCCAAGGGTCAGCGCCCGGCTCGCCCGCCCAGACACGGCCCCGCACCGCGCATCGCTGCCCGCAGCTGTGACAAAATAAATAAGTGACAACAGCAACAATTAAAACACCCAAAATTATCGAAACGGGTTTTCGCATCTTCCGCCGCACCTTTCGCCGCTGGGTGTTAATGCGGTGCCCTGCTCCTTTGTAGGTGAGCTCACCTCAGCGACCAGAAACACCAAGGCTCGCCTTGGAAGCCGAACATTGTCTCAGGGTTACTGGGGCTTCTCTATGGAAAAATAGAATCAGGAATGTGGCTGTTGCCTTTTTTATTATTATTTTTTTTTTCCCTTTTTTCTTACACCTCCCACCCCCGCCAAAACCACAGCAATTGAGTCCACAAGAGTAAGGAAGAAAAGATTAGACGTGTTTGTTCTTTTACTTTCAAGACAGCAAATGGAAAGGGGAGACCTCCAAAAATATATGACAATGAGGAGAAAGAACGATAGAAAAGCCAAATATTTTTGAATAGTCGAGCAGACAGAAAATAAATAGCAGGCCTCTAATAGTAAGCCTCTAATATAACCTATATATTTTAAATAAGTGATTTTGAGTCCAGCCAACCTTCAGATATGCATGGCAAGTAGGCAGGTTTTTCTTTGTTGCTGAAAGCCATGAGAAGGGTCCTGTGTATTGCCAGGCAGAAATCCACTGGGATGGACTGTCCTGTTTAGAAACACAGCAAACTAAGACAAATCAACCTGAAAAAGATTAAATGGCATAAGACTTTTTTTTCCAAACTTACCATTTCAGTCTGATTTTTTTACTCTTGTCGTTACCACTTTTGATAGAAGTGAGCACTGTGAACCACCAAAGGAAAATTCCCGTTTCAGATAAAATGGCCCACATATGAATCGTCCTCCTAACCCAATCAAAGCAACTTTTCCAGGGAAACTTTTCCTGGAACAGAGTCTGCACAAACATTTTTAGCTGACTTTAGTCTGACACAGCTGTAAAAGCAGCAATCCAGCCTCCAGCCCACTTCCCCCACTTGTGCCCCTGCACTCGCCCTCTTGTGAGAACAGGGAAGCCCACCTGGGAAATTAGCCAGCACCAGGGAAAAACCTTCTGGTTTGGTGTGGGTCAGTCTCCTCATCCAATCCACAGCTGCACAAATTCTGCTGGGGCTGGACAGGGAGTGGGAAATTCTGGAGTGGGAGTCTTTCTGAGGGCAGAAAGAGAACAGCTTAACTTCCCTGGTGCCAGCTTCAGTACAGCACATGCAGGGAGAGGTGATGGGGAGCAGGTTTGACCCTGAACCTGCTGCATCCCTTCTCCACAGTCACAGCAGGACTTTTCCTGTAGCTGTGTCTTCATTCTTCTGGAGCACTGCAAAAAGGAGCTCCTAGAACAGGGCAGAAGACTGGGGAGGTGACTGGATTGGGAATTAGAAAGCTCACAGATCTTCTCTCTGGTACCTGTGAGAGGTCAGGCATCTCCTGGTGTCTCAGAGCCCTGGTAAATGAGAATTTACCTGCCTCACTAGTCCTTATTACACAGCAAGCCCTGTGGCCTCAAGGTTCGTGGTACTTGGGTTTTGCTTCTCTGAATCCAGAGTGGGACCTGCTTCTAAAGTCACACCTTTTTCACAATATTATGTGCTCAGCAACAGCAGCAAGCTGTAATACAGCCATCAGGAACATTTTTGTTAATACATGACTTGACAAACCCTGAAACATTTTCTGTTAAGGGCACACAGCAGAACTTTTCCCTTTTACAAACTACTTGTTTTCAGCATGCTTCTCAACCTCAGAAACTCACCTTAGAAAACTGCTGGCCCCAGAGCTGCTAAAAGAAGGAAAAAACATTTTAATTAAACTGATTAAAGGGTTTTCTGAGGAAAGGAGTTGAATCCTGTTGCCTTTTTTCTCCAATTCACAAGAGCAGCATCGAAATGCAGATACACAAAAATGAAATATCTATATTATAGCTGGAACGTGTATTTTTTAACACACACTTGACAAGAGGATTTCAAGAGATAAATTCAGAAACCTAAAAAGTAAATTACATGTTTATTTTGAGTGTCACAGGACTGATTTTATTAGCTGGGTGAAGTTCAAAACAGTGAACAAACAGCATTTCTTTGCCTGAATACTTCCTATTAATGATATTGAAAGGGTATGTTATACAGGAAACTTTAGTCATTTTCAGAGTTGGCACTGGATTTTGTTTTTTCACTTGTACAAATCCGAAGTGAGTACCATCAAATGTACAGATTCAGGAGATGCATGTTAAAAATTCTAAAACACTATAGTATCCAGAAAAGCACACACATTCTTCACAATCTATTATGTCATCTTTAATATATTTCATACATATCACTTCCTCCAGTTTCTGCCAAGCAGGACAGAGCTAACAGCTCTGAGACACACACAGGGTAGTTCAGACACCCTGAACCACAGACACCTACTTAATTTTGCTCTTTACTTCAGGATTTATTTTTTTCCTAAGTATCTGTAAAGCAGTAGAAGAAAGCATAATTTAAAGTCCACCTTTGAGCACTTATTTCTTAAATAATCAGATTTTTTGAGAGCTCTTTTACACAGAAAGGAATTCAAACCAAACCAAAATAAAAAAACCCTTTCAAACACGTGCGAACCACACATGAAGAACAAATTTGGCTTTCAAAAAGGCTCATTCCAGGAGGGCAGAAAGGGTTTTGAGGCAGACCAGTTCCCCAGAGCAGCCCACAGCAGAGCCACTAGTGTTTGTGCTGGCACACTGGAGTGTCCCAGCCTGCAGTGCAGGACCAAGGCTGGCACAGAGTCAGGACAGTGTTTTACACTGCCTTTTCCTTTGGACACAGTACCAGAGGGGTTTGGGTTGTTTCTTTAAATTTCCTGGATTTTTTTTGCCATTTTAAGACCAGGGTACCAAGGGTTCTCATTTGCACTGCAGACATTTCAGTTCAGGCCTGCAGAGACTGGGACATGAGGGTGCAGTACTAGAGAATGCATATTTTAATTTCCTAACATTTTAAGAAAGTAGAGTTTGATCCATTGGATGGCCACTGGTAGCAATCTTCAGAAAAGTCACTGAATTCACCATATGTCAGCACAGACCAGTGCAGTTCTGCCAAAAACTGAGGCTCATTCCCCTCACTAAAGCAGAAATTCTTCCCTGACTGGGGAACAGAAGACATCAGTAGAAAACTGCATTGGTTTAGGCTTCATGCCCCACTGAGCCCCACAACATTCCAAATTTGTTGAATATAGTTGGGTAAAGTTCTCCACTGCTCTCTTCTCTCACTTGTAGGCCATAAGTCACAGAGCATTTGGTGTGCATGTTGGCCAAGGACATGAAAACAACAGAAAAACAGATTATTACTTATAAACAACAAACAAACAGAAGAAAAAAAATTCCAAACCAACAGGATTCCAATTTTGCAAATTGGGATTTTTAGCTCGTAGAGCTTCTTAACAAAATTGCAGACTGGAACTAGCAGGTAATTGAATCCTAGAAGCTGAAAAAACCCCAAACTTCATGGCTTTGGATTTTCATCATCTGTCCCATTATGAATTTTTATTTTTTTTCCCCTCACAAACAGGGGCCCATAAACTAACCTGCTCCATACTCCAGCAAACACAACATCTTCAGGAAGAACCCACAGTCTTTCCATAGAAACACACCAGCTTTTGGAGGAAAATGCCAATGACTTCCAAAAGGAAGTGAAATTTGAGCCTTCTGTCAGAATCTGCAGACACAGAAGAGCACTTCATGATTCTGCTGATAGAGCATCAGGTAAGATTACTGCAGGAAATATCACTAGCTGCCCTCTGGGCAGTCTTTTTATATTTGATGGGCCAGAATTTTGTCACAGGATAATGCTTGTCTGCTGCCTTGCCCCTTTAAATTAAAATGAATGAAATTAAGTTAAATATTTGATTGGAATTTTCCTCTGTAGAAATAAACTGATGCAAAAAAAACCCCAAAAAACAGCTGGAGGTGAATTGTTTGTCCTAAAAACTCCCAGTGTAACTGATAGTCAAGGTACCTGGAAAAGCAGTTGTTTTTTTTTTTTTCCTCCCCTGAACATTCCACTGAACATTCTTTTTTCAGAATTAAGAAGCATACATGGGTGATTTATTTAATTGTAGGAACTCCCAGGTGCTGCAGACTCAGGGCACGCTACAAGGAAAGGTTTTGGGGGGTCACAATGAGCTGTGGCAGGGAATACACAACCGTGGGAGGTGTTTTAACAACCTCTTTATTGCTTAACAATTTACCTGTTTAGAAAGTGGATGGTTTTTTTCCCCCCAAGTGATTGTTTTATCATTTAATTAGTTTATAATGCGTTGAGTCAAAGCCAGTGCATGAGAAAACCTTCAGCTTAATTCACCTGCAGTTCAGGCACTCAAAGCCCATTATAGCAAACAATTCCAAAACCTGATGGTCTGTCAGAAAACAGGCATGAGTACTACAGAAAAAGGTTTTGTATCACAAAAACCTCTCCTTGACCTTTAACTTATTTAACTCCCTTCCCTCTTCATCACACGGATTATCTCATCTGGTGGCAGAGCCTG